TTTAAAAGTAGGGTAATCATAGCAGGTTTCATCCATAGTCTGTCCGTTTAAACGTCTGCGTTTAGCTTCAAATGGGGTCTTTGACGACAGTATTCTATAAAAATTATACATCACTTGACATCAAAAGGCACAAAAATATTTTTTTCTTTTATTCCATGGATTTTACCCATTTACCTCCACTTGTTCCCAGTGTTTTTCTGCAACCATTATGCGCGCGCAGCTGCAAGTGACGTAACTGTGACGTCTACTCTGAATTGGTCTTAACAATTAACATTAAAAATTTGATATGATTTTAGTGTTTTTTTATATTGTATTCTTATTTTATAGCTAAATACTGTAGAATTATACATTTAATTTTAATTTCAAATTTAATCATTTTTTGTTACAAATACTGAAATAAACTTGATTTAGTCATTTGTTTTTAGTGCCATAGTGTTCCTTTTTTATTATTTATTTATTTTTGTTTTTCCCCTGGTGTTTATTCGATTTTAAATCGATTTTAAATTTTTTGAATTTTTATCGTAGTCTCTGACTTTTGGAGCCCTCTGCATGTTTATTTTGCAAGAATGTGCTTTTATAATTTCAGCTTCATCTCCATGAGTAAAAGCACTCTGTCATGCTTTAATTTCACGTAGAACCGTGGCTTTAGTGAAGTACGCATTCATTAATTTAACAATTTGGTGCATTTGATTTGACACAGAAATGCCACAGGAGTTGCTGTTAACTGACTGAAGAAAATGAAGGAGACTTATTTCTCATCCCCTGTGGTCTTCCTAAGGTTCCTCTTCATTTTGACCCCCCCTCATTTCCATGAAATGACTTATTAATGAGAGGGTATTTTTAATACAGCCTGATTCAGAGCTTTCTCTGCCTTTGGATCAGAAAAAAAGCAGGAGTGGGATGCTGCGTTCATTCGGGGCTCTCATGTGCTCACTGACTTGCATCCAGTCTATTGACCACCACACTAAAGTCAAACTGACCATGACAGATGATCAGGAATAAATCAGACGCTCACTCTAATCTCAAGTGAGACAGTCAAAACAGCTTGGGAAGCTCATTTATGTAGTCTGTTTCTCTTTTCAAGTAGCTTTTTAAATTCTATTTAAATTGCAAATATTTCATCATATTTGCATGATAATTCACAATGTTTCATCAGTGTTACTAAACTATTTTGGGGAAAAAATAAAATAAACTTACTAACAAACTAACTAACTAACTCATGGAGATGAAGTTGAAACACACACACACACTTGCAGCCAAAAGTTTGAAATTAAGATTTTTAAATGTTTCATAAAGGTTATTTAATTAAAAAAATAAAGTAAAAACGGTAATGTTGTGAAATATTATTACAATTTCAAATATAAATTTTCAAATATAATTTTGATCTTGCACCAAATCAGCATATTAAAATGATTTCTGAAGGATCATGTGACATGGAAGACTGGAGTAATGATGGGGAATAAATTACATTTTAAAATATATTCAAATAGAAAACAGTTATTATAAAGCGTAGGAATAATTTTTGATCAAATATACAGTGCACAGCATAAATGAGTACACCCCCTCTGAAACTTAACAAATTCAGCAATTACTCTTTGCTTAGAAGACATGTTATGGTTTTTTAGAGATATAATATTCCAGCAAGAAAATATAGCCAAAGTAACACAGAAATTCAAAAACAATGGACTTGTGAAAAGGCCCCTGAAATAATCAGGTCTTCACTTTAAGCTTTCATTTAGTGATGAGTGAGTTTTTGCTAGAAAAAGAGCAGGAGAAACACTGTGAAAGTAAAAAAGCTGTGAAAAGAGTGACACTTTATCTCACCGAGTAAGATGCAGCATGCAGAAGGGACATGCATGGTTGTTTATCCACACCAGGTTTTCATTCAAAATATCTTAAATTGTGTTCCCGAAGACGAACGAAGCTTTTACGGGTTTGGAACGACATGGGGGTAAGTGATTAATGACAAATTTTTCATTTTGGGGTGGAGTAACCCTTTAAGGTCATTGTTTAGGACCTCATCTGCATATAATTTACATATTCATACTGCAGTCAAGACACATTATCAGATACAACGGTGCATTAACAGTACTAGAAAGCCAATATATTCAGCTGTGTCATAAGTTAACTTCTGATTTAAGTGCTTCAAACTACTTAACTCCATACTAAATATGTACTGCATTAATACTTATAATTAAGGGTTTGTGATTCCTCACCCTTAGTGTGAACAAGAGTAATCGCATGCCTCACCAAGCAGATTGCGACTCACTTATGTTCAGAAATGATGGGATATAGTATGTTTATAATTGTCATCTTTTTCCCGCTGTATAAATTTCCATCCAGTCTCTTGGACACCTACACGCTTCTCCACATATGTGTGATCTGCTGTCGAGTCTGGCTGTGTTTGCTACTGCAGTCAAAGTAAACAGTGCTCAGTGTGCCATCCTGCTGTTCTTTAAGGGCTCCATTATGACGGGACTCCCGCTGTCTTTGCTCGGTATTCCACGGCTCTAAATCTGAGCACACAATCGGATGGCCACAGCTGGAGCTGCTGATGCACTCACCGTATATCACAGATGGGAGGCCACTGTTCTCTGCTCAACATGTAGGAGTAGTGTCTGTGTGCCTTTTTATTACATTTGAGCGTGTGCGTGAAAAGCTGACAGCTTCATGTTCAAATGATTGCTATTGAAGGCTACGCCTCTTGGAGAGCGTGTTGGCCATTGTAATAGCTGTGTATATGGGACAGCTATCATTTCCTGTGAAGAACGCCCACTCCAGCAGCTTTGAATTTGTGTACATGTTGCTTGCATGCGAAAATAAGGACAAGGTTTTGCTAATGAAAACCATTGTGTGGTTTTCTTGTGTTTTTCAGATGAGGGGCCCTACACTAAACACTCCAATCCCTCCAGGCCACCAGATGGCGCTCTGGCAATTAGGAGACAGAGTATTCCAGGTACAAAGCACAACGTCTGATTTGTCACTGCAGTTCTGGTGTAAAATATGCTGGGTTTTGTTCAAAGGTGTGGTATAGTATGATGCTCGAAAGTGACATATAACAAAATTGCGTTTTTGCAAGTGTACGATTATTGACAGGAAATAATTACTGTTTTATGCTAATGTTTTCTAAAAAGGGCTTTATTATAATTAAATTTACCAATTTTGTCTCATCTGTGCATTTTATTTGCTTAGAAGTGAGTGTATGGCTGCCTTCATTTTTGTGTGACGACATACACCTGCATCTCAAAAGTAAAAAATTGAAATTGAGTGTTAATGAAACTCAACATTAGTAGGTACTTCTCCTCAAAATGGCTGTTGTTTATTGTGAAAGCTATTTGAAAATATCTGTTTCATGCTAGCTTAGCTTAGCTTTCCAATGCTTCTAGCTCTGTGAAGCCTTATTTTTCTTAAACAAGATTGTGACGATTTTAGATGTAGTTACCAGTTTTATTATTATTATTAATATACAATCATAGTATTTATTCAGATTTTTTATTTGCTTTTACTTTTTTATTTTCATTTGAATTTTAGTATTTTTATGTGCTTTTCTCATTTTTATTAGTATTTTTTTCATATTTCTATTTAGCTTTCATTCATTTTTTTATCTCAATTTTAGATTGAATAATTGTAGTACTTCAACCTAAACGTATACTTATAATTTCAGTTTAAGTATTTTAAGCTTATGTTTGTTTTTTTTTGTCTTAATATTTGTTTCATTTTTTTATCAGCTTTATTTTAATTAATGACAATTATTTTTAATAGTTTGTTTTAGTTAACATTAACAACACTGTTTTAGTGACAGTATTAAACAAAGAAGTGGTTTTGGTTTTCCTTTTTTGCGGTCAGCAAGACTTTACAAGATCATTTACAAGACATTATTTAGCATACTCTACTGGTCATTTGACTGAATTTACTTTTACCATGATTATTAAAGCATTTGTATCTAAAGATTTCTGCTTAAAGACTTTAGTGACGAAATTAGTTCTAGACAAATAAAATTGTGTACCCATATGAATTTCTATACAAAAATAATATATTGGTTAAAAAACTAAGTGTATAATGAAAAGCATAATCTATTCAAAGGTTAAATACTTTGATAAAGCTAAAATAAAAGCTTTTTGTTTTGATTTAACTTTTTAATATTTTTGTTTAACAACAAGACTGGCATGTCCAGACTTTTAACTGATAGTGTATATAATGTGCCAATACATCAATTGATGTGCGGCTGGTTCTCCGGTTATGTGACAAGGCGAACAAATCGCTCGCATGTTCATTTATGACTTGTTACACAAACCCAGCGCCCCTTTTGTGTTAGTTGAGATCCGTTTTGAAGCGACGCTCATTTTCATGCTAGAGGTAAAAACATCTCAGAGGGTGTTGAAATAAATTCCCTGTATAATCTCTCAGTACAGAGCTCTAAGCACATCAAACCCATCTTCAGAAGCGGTTAGCGTTTAGCATGACGGCTTTGGGGCCTCGTGCCCACGTTCTGATGTAGCTCCACACCGTAGGCACGGGCTCTTTGGACTGCTGTATTAAACCATCCATCTGAAGACAGATTAGGCGCAGACTGTGATGCTCCTGCCGAGCTCGGTGTGATGGTTTTGCGGTTGAGATGGTGGCACGTCTCATAATGCTTCCTTAGAAAATCACTTACTGCCAAGAGTGGGATTAGAAGCTACTGTCACAAAATACTTCACATACATCAGACATAGAATGATGCCGGAGGAATGTGACTAAATATTAAAAGCGGAAATACAGAGAGAGTGAGAAAGTTGCATTTTTTAGATTTGATCCATTGGCCATTCTTGAATTGCTCAAGGCCTTAGTCTTATGCAATCGCAATTACTCACTATAAAACTTGCATGATACAGTCTTTTTATAATGTCTTAAATATGACCATTCGCATTGCACTTAAATTATTTTGTATTTCAGACATGTTGGATAAATGGCGTTTATATGATTTGAGGGAATACTAATAATTAGAATACTACATCACTAAGTGTATGTCTTGGTTTATGCAAAGAATTAATGCTCATGAGTTGTTTATGAATAATAAAAATCAATTAAAGCAAAGGATTGAAACTGAAGCATTAAACTGAAGCGTGGCTAGATCTGAATGGTTTTAGAGAGATGGAGAGAACACGTTTTCCATGCTTAGACTCTCCAAAGACTACAAATGCATTTGGTAAGTGTAGATATCCTGAATTTTTAAAGTGTTGGTTTTAAAAATATATGGTGGAATAGTGGGAAATGAATTTATGGAGCAACTGATGATGAATTTTGTGCTGTGCCCCTCAACCTGAGACTATTCAGAAATTCACTGCTTTTGGAATTGATTTGAATGCAGATTCGCTTTTGGAATTTGAATTGAGGTAGCAAACAGGGTGCAGATTTGTAATTCAAAATTTGAATCTAAAAAAGTAGAATTCAAGTTGAATGAAGGTGTGAATAAATGTATAAAGCTGTTGGAAGTGTAGTTTATGTATATTTTTAGTATGAATTACCCATAAGCCCAAGTTATCGTGCGCTGCAATTCAAAAGTTTGTGGTCAGTAAGATTTGAAAGACCTTTTGAAAGTCTCTTATGCTCACCAAAGCTGCATTTTGATCAAAAATAGAGTAAAAACAGTAGGATTGGTAAATGTTATTAGAATTTAAATGAGCTGTTTTCTATTTTAAAATATATTAAAATGTAATTTATTCCTGTGATGGCAAAGCTGAATTTCCAGCTGCCATTACTCCAGTCTTCAGTGTCACATGATTCTTCAGAAAGCATTTAAAAAAAGGTGATTTGGAGCTCAAGAAACATTTATTATTATCATAAATGTTGAAACACTTAATATGCTTGTGGAACCGATGATACATTTTTTTTCAGGATTCTTTGATGAATAGAAAGAAATGCATTTGAAATAGAATTTGTTTAACTTTACTGTCACTTTCGATCAATTTAATGTTTCCTTGATGCATAAAAGTATTAATTTATTTTTTTAAAAACCTACTGAACAGTAGCTTTCAGAAACATTTCTATACTGTATAGACTGTATATGTATATGTTAAGATGCTAAGTAGATTCAAAGGAATTTTAATGTTAATTTCACACAGAATTGAACCTAGTTTAGACAAATATTTTGCATATCAGAATAAAAAATAATGAAAAGCTGAAGGAAAAGCTGAAAAGATTTTTGTAATTATGTTTTGTATTGTTTCCTCTTGTTGAATTTCATTTTACTGCAATGCAGTAAATTCCTCTTTGTCATTCCAATTAATATTCCAATTCAACACCCTATTGAAATTCAATTCTACAATCCAATAAATGAACTGAAAGTAAACCAAAGGTAAAATTTAGAGTCTTTCCCAAACCTGCTAGTAAAACATCAGAAGCAAAACATAAAGATAGCTTGGCTAGAAAAGCCTGATGACTTCATTTCAGATTCAACAAGTCTCCTCTCTCTCTCTCCAAGATTCTATCTCTGTGTTTTTATAACGCTGAGAGCGACGCCCAGGAGAGTCACTCAATCATGTGAGCCTCAAACCGCTGTGAAATAAAGCTGAGAATGGCTGAAGTCTCGCCACTCATGCACCTTCACTGATCTCGCGGCACATTTAAATCTCCTCGATTAGTCCTCTGCGTTGTTATTAATATGGATGAGAGGATTAGCAAATTGTTACCTGGAATTTTGCAAATGAATCCGCTGGGGTTCGTGTTCTCTAACTGGTTATAATCACAATATGTTTTAAGCAACATACAGAGCAGCCGAGGTCTGCAGTGCAGGAGCGTCCCAAAGCTCATTGGGCTGCTGCTGAAGAGATACGGACGCACCATTCATAACCTCAGTTTCCTGCTACAACACTAGCACACGCTTATCCTAGATACAAGTCCCTTGGCATACACATCTCTTTTTAAATGCCATGTTAGCATTCATTGGGCAGGCACAGAATGAGTGAGAGAGACAGGCTGCTGACAGATGAGTTCGCTGTGGATGGCATTGGGCGCTGGCTTGCAAACTGAAAATGTTGTTGCATCAAAGTGATTCAGCACTTTCAGAGCCGCATGTAATGCAGGGTGCAACTGCAGAGGCCTCTATTAATTTTGCCTGAGGTTTGTTATCAAGCTGTCGAAAGAGTGAAAGTTTAATGGAGGTTGTGGCTCATTTTAAGGGCTGTTTGTGGTGCTTTCTTGTGAGCAGAGTTTCTTAGCGAAGTTTTGACTGTTTTGTTGCTGGGTGTTTCTTTAACTTTATGTCCCTTAGGTTGTTTCTTATTAAAACCAGCAGAGGGTCACATTAAAACAGTCTTGAAACTTTTTACCCATTGATCTTTTTTTTTCTTTTTTTTACTTATCAAATGTATTTTTATGTAGTTTTAATATTTTATTGTACTTTTATGCATTTGTTTGACCTACACCAATTCTTTCAATCTAGTACTAGAAAAATATAATAAACTAAATAAAGACTTGAATGATCAAACACTTTTTATGTTTACTGTGTGAAATATATGTACACTATTGTTTAAAAATATAGGTTTGGTAAGATTTTTTTTAATGGTTTTGAAAGAAGTCTCTTATGCTCACCAAGGCTGCATTTATTTGATTAAAAATGCAGTTAAAACAGTAATATTGTGAAATTTAAAATAACTGTTTTCTTTTTGAATATGTTTTGAAATTTAATGTATTCCTATGATGGCAAAGCTGAATTTTCAGCATCATTACTCCAGTCTTCAAT